GTCAGTCGATGTGAAATAATAAATTCGCTATAAATTAAACGTTCATATTTTTTTATGCTAATGGATATATTATGTTCATTGTTAGGCGTAATAATTCTGGTAAGGTTTAGCGCGTTGCGATTATTTTTAATGTAAACAGTACAATAACATTAAAACATATTATAATTATGATAATAATTTGGTGTTTTAGGACGGAGGGATGGCAACGTTTGCTGTTACTGCGGCAGTGCTTATAGGTCAATAATTATACAAGATTACTTTTTAGAATAACCGTATAAATTAAGGTTTCAAGCTTGCATTGTAACTTGATTATTATCACCTCTAGTGGTGGCATTCTCGCAAAGCTAACATTGAAAAAGGAGTATACTACATAGGTTTATTCTATGCATACACCGCATGTGTAGAAGAGTGTGTGTGTGTGTGTGTGTGTGTGTGTTTGTGTTTAGGGAACGAGAAACCGATAACGATTTTGCGTGTTTCGGCTAGTTCTGTGTGACCAAAGTCTGATAATAAAGAGTCACATATATTAAACACATACCTACTACACGACTATATGGACTACATTTCGAGTAAGGTAATGTTAGGTACACGCGAGCGTACACAATAATAACACAGTCTTATCGATGTATTCGGCGTTGTTATAATTTAGACGCTTTATCGTCCTGTTCACGTGATTTATGCTTTGGATTTAATAAAACCACTCAAATACCCTACATCGAGTACCAAAAACAATTTCGAGACTTCCACTTTTACACATTAAAACGACCAAATCTTTTTCGAATTTCGTTTTTATATAACTATTTACAAAACGAAAACCCTATCGATTTCACCGTAATGTTTGCGTTTGGATTACCACAACACTTTTGAAGTGACTTTTTATATGAATTGAAAGCATATATGGATTAAGCTACAACGATTAGCTTGCCGCATTGTGTTATACTATATCACTAATTAATCTATACATAATATTATGGTGTGTATAACTGTTATGCGACAAAGTATCTCCATTACCTCTATTATATGAAGGATCTTCACTATTTTTATAATAATTATTTTTTTTTTTTACTGTCATTATTATATCTAAAATAATCAACGAACTTATGTAATATATAGTCTAAATACAAATTATATTAAACATACATCATTTTTAAAATTTAATTGTAAACATTAGTAAATAGTACAGCGAGAAGCTGGAAACATCAAAACAAAGTGAACATTAATAATAATGTTTGTGTTTTAAAATCATATTTAAAATTTTTATATATTAAAAAAATAACATTAAAAGAGATAAGGTAGAAAAGTACTACACTGAATTATGAATATTCAAAACATATTTTTTTTATTTTTTGATAATTTCTTTTGATATTGGTATCTTTATTATATACTTAGCTTTTTTTATAAATAAATATTTATCAGTATATTTTTTATAAGTATAATTTATAAATTGTTGAGATATACAAATATTAGATACGATGTGTTTGATATTAAGCACATGGTAACTTGTAAAAATATTTCAACAGTAATAATGTGAAATTAAAAATATTTTGGATCACTTCAAATTCGAAATTGTACAGATATTGTGTACGTACAATATAAAACATATCTAATACTTAATATTGTTGACAAATCTTCATCAACATAAATAGTTGCAAAATTCGTTTCGAAATGCATACACAAATTTATATAGTTTTGTCAACAATAATAATTATTATTTACCTAGGACCGAATTAATTAAAAAGCGTTATTTATGTAAGACAGTGTTTTGCACCATGGCATTTTTTACAAAATTGTCTATGAATAGGTTTGATGAAAATTAATGTGAACCCTCAAGCATTTTTTTTATATACCTTAATAAACGCCATATACTGTTTGATTAATCATAAATATAATAATTTAATACTACTAAACCGTCTGCGTTACTTCTTACATGCACTGCTGTACAAATTTTATCGTGTAATTTTGTAATTCGATATTGTCGTCTCTCCCTTCAGTATTAATATCGATTTTTAGAAAGTTTAAAAATTAGTGGTAATAATAAATAATTTGCAAACATTTTGTCGGTAATATTTTATACGCATAGAAATTCGGTGAGTCGATAGTGTGTTTTCAAATTCATGTCATATTTCATCGGTACAGCAAAATATAATAACCGTCGTAAAACACTGAAAAATATCGTTTTATGACCGTACGCATACGAATAGGATTTTAAAAACTAAATGGAGTTTTTTTTTTTATTGTTCTTCATATTTGTGATTTAAAGCTTTAACATTTATGGTACTATACTGAGACATACGAGAAATAATACTTATTTGGCACAAACTCGGTTTTTTTTAAGGCCAATTCATCAGCATTCTATTTGAACTCTGAACATAATATAATAGCGCCACATATAAACATATTACATTATATATGTATAAAAAATGTATAATTCTTCTTGGCTCGTGCATATATAAAACATTGAAATTAAGTGAATTTAACGTATTATTCTAATTTATAAAATATTGAAATGTATTTACATTTTTTTTTCTTGTTATACTCATTATATATATTTTTATTCGTTTGTTATTTTTTCTAACGTTAATAGAATCCAATACTTCTGATAAAACGAACGTATTTAATATATTGGTTGCATGTGAACATGGAAAGTAGGTAGCATATTAGATTAACTATTGTTGCGTACCCGGTAAATCAATTGGTTTAGAGTTAAAATAAATATATTTAAATAAGAAATAGTTTCCACAATAGTATACAATTTCACGAGGTCATGATTTATAAAAACGATATAAATGTGATTTCTTGAAAAGACGATGTATCCATTGATTACTGCTAGCAAATTATGCGAGTTCGTAAAACTATACTCGCGGCACATAAACATGTTAATGTATTAGTGACTAATAATAAAATTAGTCTTAAGGAGCTAACAACAACAATTTTTTGGCTTTTATTTATTTATTTATTTTTTTTTTTGGAAGGGGGATATAATATTAAAATAGTTTGCTTTGAAATAAGAACACATCGATCAATGACCAAAGGGTTATAATATGTTCATATAGTGTATACTGTATATGTATTATATTATATATAAGTGTGTATTTTTCTTGTAACATCCAAGTAGAACGATCGTCGGGAGACTTGACATATTTTTTTCTACCCACAAATATTAGTGTAACGCCTCACCACACACGTATCCATATCGCACGACCACGTTTCAACGGTGTGGAAAAAAAACATCGTGATCCATATACCAAACGATATGGATGGAAAATTTCCCGAAAAATCGTGTTCACCGCGTATTAACCTGATAACGAGAATAGAATGTTATTCATCAGATTTTCGTCGGCGACCTTTTTACGAATGTAGTCATACGATTCGGGACAGACATAAATCGGACCGGCTTATCGTCCGTCCGAAAAAAGGCGTTTAGATCCCCCCGCCACCGTCTGTGGGCATCGTCCCGGTCATCTGTATCCGCCGATTGGTACCTTTCTTGTCTCGTCCTAGTTTTAATCGTTCGCGTCCAACGACGGCAGTGACGAAACTCCGCAGGAGATTACCTGTGAACCGTTATCGCCATCGCCAGGTATAATTTTAATTGATCGTCGGGCGGTCGAAGTTATGTGTAGAATCAGTTTTGAGCACACACACACACACACACACACACACACACACACACACACACACACACACACAACAAACTGTGTACTTCCTATGTATTATTATTATTATTATTATTATAGTTCTGGTCGTGAAGATGACATGCTGGCGGGGTCGAGTCGGCTGTGACTTTAGGAGTCGTATTCTGCAGTGGTATATTCAGTTAACGTCAACCTATAATCTTGATACTCGGCGGCCAGGTTCGTATAACGGATTACCCGGTTACCCTCGACTAAAAATTGTGTACCTGACGTTCGCAACAGAAACGCGATGATAGAATAACGGATCGCTGTAGTTTAACGATGCGTAATATTATACCTATCGTACTTTATTGGTACGTGGCTCATTATATATAAAGGTTGGATGTCCGTGTTTATTCCTGGCGTCGTATCAATTAGGCGGATTGGTATCGTATATACTTTGTCATAGTATTATTGTGTGTACAAAGTGCGCGTAGGAGTACGGTGGAATATATGTCAATATAATATTTATTATGTATTAAATGCGCGCGCTATTATAACCAGTGGAGTACATTAAATTTTCTTATTGGGAGGAGAGAGGGTGGATTAAACTGTAAATCAAAATAGTATTTCGATGTCGGTGATAAACACACCCACGAGCTACAACACAGAGACAATAATTGACTCATAATGATAAACAATATATAATATCTAGATTCTAAGTATTTAAAAACAGTTGTAGTTGTGTCAATAACTAATATCTACCTCCTTGAACGGAAAATTAACGTCTTTGTGATTCCATCATAATTGAAAAATACTATTGGTACTAAATTTTAAACTAGCGTTAAACATTTCACAACGTGTATATTGTTCATTTAAATAATTTTTAAACGGAATTTTTAATTTTTTTTGTGCTTAAGGAAGGATTTGGGGATTTATTTCTAAAATCTCCACCATTTGTACGCCCACTGATTGTAATAGTTTTATGTGCTTACTATAATTATGCGGTTCTATTTGTACGCACAATAACTCGACCAATGTGGAAAAGGTCAATGGGATTTTTTTTTTTTTTAACGGGGCTTTTGTCGTTATTATTTTTTACGACAATAATCCGATTGGACTGGTATCTAGGCAGGTACCACTCGAATAGATGACTGTACACGACAATCCCTTATATAATAAATTATAATTATATTTCAGAATCGCGCGGCTTCGCAGCACCTACATAATATCATTGGTAGTAGTACGATATAAATTTACCTCTGTTATCAACGTTGTATTAAATCGGTAGACAGTGATATTGCGTCATATGATAACAATTTTTCAAAACAATTTAATTCGCTTGCGTATTTTCAAATAAAAAAAAATCAACAATATAATACTCACGCTTGACCAAGTCCCTAGAACCGGTGCGCAGCATTAATGGCTGATTGTTTTCGCGTTTCCACGTAATTTTGGGTTCAGGATTGCCAGTGGCGTGACACGACAGTGTCGCGTTATCGGCCTCCATCAGCGTGAGGTCAGGGCTTGACTCGTCGGTGATTATATCCGGCGGCACTGAAAACGATAAAGGTACGTTTTTATTAATAACGCATGTGCACGTAATATATATTATATATGTATATTTAATATTACACACTCACACACACACACACACATACTGAACTTCATGCAATGTCATTGACGCGCGTTAGCGATATCTACAACTATTGATTTCGAGTAGTACCTCCAACAGCGACGAGTACGTATATTATTATTAGATACAGAAAAACTGTATAAAATGCATTAACGTTGTGCAGGCATACAATGATTTAAGCTCGTTTTCTACACGTCCACGAGTGTTACGATAATAAAATATTTACTTTTTACCGTGGACGCGTTAGTCGGTAATTAATAACTTTGCACAAAATATTATACTTATACTATATTATAATAATAAGTGGTGTTTACTTCCAAAGAGAACGTTCTTAATAATTTGAAACCACAAAACAAATTTGTTATTCCGTAAATTGCATTTACGTATATATTTCAATTAAATATGAACAATGCACTTATGTAACGATTCATTTTATATCGACAAAATAATTTATTGCTATACTTCGAATTGAATATTATTACGTATTTAATTTTGTTAAAAGTTATTCTATTTTAACTTATGTTCATCCAATAAATGCAAAATTAGTCACTGGCACCTAGCTCACTAATATCGATTATTCATTATTACGGAGATGAAAAGAACTCGGAATTCAGATAAAATCAGAAATTGAATAATGAAAATGTATTTTAAACGTCGTCTTTGGGTTATGTATTATGATGATTCAAATTTGTAGGTCAAGAGCTATTATTATGGTTTGAAATACATTTTAATGATCGTATTATGGGTGTTGATTTTCCCTGTATGATGCTATCAAACATAGTATTGTATACATTTCTTTTTTGTATTTAACATATTATGTTAAATTTTTTAAAGTTTTAAATTGATTTTGGTTTTTTTGATTTAGAATATACGAGGATTATTAATACACACGCACACATATTGTGGTCTGATTTTCGGATGAATTTAGAATTAGACATATTATGAAATCCTTAATAATTAATATTAATAAATGTTCGTTAAATATTTAATTGAATTTTTATTATTAAACTGAATATTTAATTTAGATAATAAGAATAACGATAATAATTATGGGTATTAATGATAGTTAAATTTATAGACTACTATTATTGTTTTAATTATATATTTTTTGTAACCGTTGGTTTTATAATATGTTTCTTGTTCGATATTTTAAATGCCAATGCGAATAGTGCACGATAGACAAGTCTATAGTAACTAATAATTATGAATATTATGATATTCTCGTGTCTCATATCAGTTTAAAAATTTGAAGTTTAACATGGGATAATTCATTCGTCATTATCTTTTCGTAGTATCAGGAGTTTTACTACTGTTCGGTATTCATTCTGCAGTATTCCGGACTGAACGGGATAAAGTGTTAATGGGATAGATACGGATTACGCTGGAATTAAAAAATGATGCCGGTAACGACAACCGTTGGTTGGTGTTATTATTATAATAATAAATCACATTCGGAGAAAGAGTAACAGAGGGAAGGAGAACAAGATTATTGTATTACAATAATTAAAAATATATTATCATAAAAATATAATATGACGATGATCTGAATAATATCGAGAATTAATTGAGGTCGTTAGAGAAAAGTTTATAGAAAGCTTATTTGCAAACTGTTAGGTAACATAGTTTGGGGAAAAATGCTTTTTGAGTTTTTGTAAAAGGTTAATGAATCAAAATATTATCTACTAACATTAACGGATCGAACAAGAGTAGTTCGTATATTATAGAAATTATAGACGTTTTAAAATTTCAAAATCTTAGGAAGTCGTTCTACTATAAAGTAAATGTCGAGTGTACGTCATTGAGTCGATTACTGTACTTTATATGTTAAATTTGACTTCAATAATAAATCATTGCAAATGAAGAAAAATTTTAGCGGAAACGGAATGCAAACTTTATTTTAAATGATGCTTGATAATTTATTTGTTTAATACTATAAATTATTAATTTTTCTATTATTTAAATTATATATTAAAATGGTTGTTTGCCAAATATATCACTTATATGTAATTAAAATCGTTAAAATAGATTTCGTGATTTTTCGTTTAATAACAACATAACTTCAAATAGTGAATATTTCAAGTTAATAATAAAAAATAAATAAATAGTGAACATGTATATATCATATTTTTAGATTATTGTAAAAATAACTTATTAGGGAACTCGTATAACATTTTAAGGGTTAGTATGCTAGCGACTAGCATAAAAAGTTTTATAAAATTTAAAAAAAAAAAACAGAATTAATAACAATATTGAAAACTTCAAGTACTAAAATATATACATAATAAATTAAATAATAGTAGAAGTTTCAAGTTCCTAAGGTTAATATTTTTTGAATTACAATAAAAAACTCGTTTGAGAAAAATTCATTTGTCTACATATATATATATATATATATATAGGTATACACTTTTTTTGAAATATAAACTTCAAATGCCGATTATATACTAATAGAGTTGTACGCTAAATTTGATTTTAATTACAGCAATAACAATTTATGCGTGATATTTTATCGAATGTTCAAGTCTGAATTATTATGCATTAGTGTTGAAAAAAAATTTCTACATTTTCATGATTTTTACAATTTTTAATAAATTTGATTTTCTTACAATAAGAAATTATTTTTAAATTGCTATAAGATAAACTTACTAAGAAATTCAATAAAATTGTCAAGCTTTATAAATTTAAAAACTATTAAATTCTGAAGATTTTGTGATTTCTAAAAATGCTTGTCTTAATACTTTGTGGAAATTCAAAATAATTAACTACCTATTATTAGTCACTTATTTTTGAGTTTAAGTAAAAAGTTTAAGTTTAAGTTATAGTAAATAATAAAATCTGTTTGTCGAAACTATCTGCGTGAATATTTTTAAATTTTCGTATTTTTTTTTGTTTTTTCCGAATATTTTAAAATGTATTAACAATTTTTACTTCCCAAAGTATCAACTAGATACAATCGCGATGTATAATAAATCTAAGTGTTTTTTTTTTTGTCGTGGTTGCTCGTCGATTCAAAAAGGAAATAACGTTTATTCAATAACTGGTACTTATACTTAAGTATCTAGTATTATGGACGCATACCTAAAGGTTATATCTGCCTTAATATTATTAAAATATTGTAAACTATCTATTTTTTTGATACCTATCTATTACATTTGACATATCTGTTATGATTTAAATATTATTAGTTAAACCATTTTAAATATTGATAAAACCACGGGATATTTTATATTAATATTTATATCATAAAGATAAACTGATTCGTAAAGAAAAGTCTAATGAAAATAAAACTCTGCAATTAAAAAACAAATATTTATGTTTTAAGTGAAAAGTTTACTTGATGTGACATTTCGTGATATTATTAAGTTAAATCATCGATTAAATTAAACTAATAAAGCAACAATTTTTTAATTTATTAAAAAATATATAATTTATTTTTTGCTTATAAGTAAGCATATAATGTGTATATTATGTAAATTATTAAAACATAAAATATTATTACTTTATTACTGTGCAACATACAACAAACCACAGTAATAACACTGCATGAACATTTTTTTTTTTTTTTTTTTTGTAACACCCGGAGTCTGGAGTTATTTCAGGGATTAATTTGGATTTAATTAAACACTGTGAATATTATATACCAACGGGAATGGTGAGTGTATACACAATAAATGTTGATTACTTTGAAGAGTATTATTTAAAAACTGCAGGAAAGATGTTTATTTCACTTTATCTAAGGCGGTATTACAGAGTTGTATCGGTGTACATAAAAGTGTATTACACAGCGCTGCTGACATTCGATACAATTCACTTCCAATAAGCAATAATGATAAAAACCGTAAACATTTTTATACGTCTGTACTAAATACAGGATACTACCGGATGTATTGTTACTAAAATATTTTATGCAATGGTAAATACAGTATTTAAAAACAATATACAGTTGGATTTCTCGGCTCACACTGACACTCTATTAGAAACTAAAATTGTTTTTGGAATTTCCAATTTATCTTGAAATAAATCATTAGTACCAGAAGATTATTATTATTATTCTTTTTTTATCGTTATTATAAACACAATATAAATAACTTCGTATAAAATCTTTCTTATAAAACACTACTGGGTTTGTTAAAAAATTATGTTTTTGATATGCGTTTACGTAGATGAAACCTACGTTTATATTGGTCGGTAGTTAGTAGACCAAAGTATCCATATCACTTATGAAACAATTGAAAAATGTTTATGGTTGAAAATAATTGTATCGAATTAAATATTAAGAGCTTAATAATATTGTCAAAGACTAAATAAATTAACAACAAATAAGGTTAAAATAATTGTAATTCTTTTTTTTTATTAAAAAGCTAGGTATGTTATATATAACGTAAAATTTTTTAGATTCTAAATGGAGCGCGTTAACGAATGGATTATTTTACAATGATTTGTTTGTGATTGCCAACACTATTCAAACAGTAAAAATGTTTCGACTGGTGGAATTCAAAAACAAACGATCGTAGATTATTGAAGTTTTTGCAAGTTTGTTATCCATTATCTAATCTAGTTAGAATTCAATAGACCATTCGACAGAATTTGAGCATTTGTAACACACTGTACTTACTCAAACACACAGCTTACACCCATGTTTTCCCAATTAAATACGAAAATATCGCCCATAGGCGGAGTGAATATCGCACATATATTACGCGACACCGTATTGTAAAAATAGCCTCAATTATTTCGTATGGCGATTGTACGTCGGCAGCGGCGTAAATAAAACGATTTTATTTTCATATATATGCACCTCACACAAAACGTCGTTTCCGAGCACACGCGTTCACGTAATACAATAAGAATATTATATTCATATATACTTGCGCTATAACATTATATATTATGTACCTAGGTACATATTATTATTATTGTA